GGCAACAATAGGGTAATCTCTGTCCTCATTTAAAATGGTGTTACCATAGGCTTTTCCTTCTATTGTTTACCTCTTCCTGGTAGTGGGGTTTCTGTTCCTTCTCTGGAGCTGGAAGCTCCTGTCTAGAGAGGTTTTCCAGCCAGTCCTGATATGTTAGTTCATGGACTCTCACAGGGATAACCTTCTATAGCTGCCTGTGACCACAACAACATTGACTACTTGGCATAGTCATCTGTGACCTCCTGGACAGTAGAGTATTTGGCTATTGTTTCAATTAGGTAATTTTGTTGCAAAGACAACCTTTGAACTTTGAAACTAATGAAATTAGATGTGAAGCATCATAGATTGCTTGTTGTTACAGCAGGGAGGATGGGATATTGGCATTAAATTAGTAGCTGACTTGGGAATCCTGCCTGGGAGTGGGTCAAGCAGCTGAAAATACTGTATCCCCAATAGAAGTTGCTATCTATGGTAGCACAGCCTGGTGAGCCTGGCACAATACCCAAAGGGCATAGATGCTTTTTTGTCATAAATCCATCACAATCTGTCAGCACCAAAGGGACCAATCTGGTGGGATTTACCTGGTAAAAGTAAGAAGGGGCTGACCATCACAAGCAACCCTACAGATAAGATAGGCAGCAAGAACTTAGACATTAAGTAAGGGCTCCAAGCAGGCACCAGGCCTGAAAAGAAATTGAGACAAAAACAGGGTACCCAATGTAAAATAAGGAGTTGAAATGAAGATTATACTAAGACAGGAAAAACATGGTAAGGGGAAAGATAAGTATCAGAGATTATGCTTGCACCAGGGTTTACCCTTCTGTCACAGGATTTCTTGTCTGAGTAAGGTTAAGCAGATGTTGGGACTAAGGAGGACCACTGCAGTCCTTCCTGGATCCCTGGACCTTGGATTTTAAAGGAAAACTTTACTAAGTCTCCACTGAATATTGAGACTGACTGAAGCAGCTGTGCCATATTTGTATCTTTGTCAGGATTTGAGCAGGAACTGAATATTCAGGGATTCACTGGGGAGAACTGAGGACTATACTGAGAGCCAGGAAACCAATGTTGGATCTATCACTGGGAGTCTGGTGAAAGACAGATACTTTATGCCTTATGTTTGTTTGGTTTTTGTGTGATTAGATGCATGTTTTTGTATTTTTATAACTTGGAAGTTATAGGGGGAAAGTGGTGTTGATTTTAGAGAAGAGAGGGAACTCGATGTGAAATGTAGCTGTCCATTAAGTGAATGGTCTGCAGTGGGTAAGAGTAACCACCCCCAGAGGGCACCATTGTAGAAACTGAGAGTTGTTTTGCCTGAGCAAAGCTATGAGAGAGATGGACAGATAACTTGAAAAGATCACATGAATTAATATGTCTATTCTGGCTCTTACTATGCCAGGGCGCTTGCCTTCTCCCAATGGTCACAGTAAAACTAGTTTCTTCAACTCTCTATCTTCACATAAAATACCTAGAAAAGCCTGCAGTGCTAGAGAAATACATAAGAACTGCAGTTAGTAAACTCTACTCAAAACCTTTCCTCTCCAAGTCCCTGGAATGAGACAGGAGCAATGTCCCTTCTTTCTGGCTTTGCTCCTGCTTTTTGAGGGTCCAAGTTTCACTACCCTCTCTCCATCCTCTCTGCTCATTTCTGTCCAGCTGATAGTTCAAACCCCAGCTCAAATGCTAATTCTTCTGAAAGACCTTTCAACCCCCTTGCCACACCTACACTGCTTGCTCCTCTAACATTGACTGTCTGCATATTTTGCACCTGCCTGGAGTTAATTTTTTCCCAAGGGTGGATTCTTTTCCTTAGTGTAATTGTAAGGTGCCCAAGAAGAGAGACTGTGTTGAGTTCTCTTCTAATCCTCCATAGCACCTGGCCCAAAGACAGCCAGGCAGCCCCCTCTCTCACTGATGAAGTGAATAGATGGATGGGCTATTAGCCTTGGTACTCCCTCTGTCCCCTAACTAACTAAAGATGTCATGCAGGATTTCAGTTAGCTTGTGAGTTTTAGCTCACATGTGCATCAGTGCTTGGGATGCAGAAAGACAGCAGTGGTATCAAAAGTTTGAAGATGTATAATATAATCTGCATCATTTTTCTATTTGTTAAATCCAATCTAGGAATGTTGTTGCATGGAACTCCCACCTCTTTGTTAGTTAGGTATTGTGTACCCCTTTTGAGAGATACAGGAACTCTGGGTTGAAGAGGCCAAAGATGATAAGGACCATGACTAAGAGGCTGGTGGAGGACAGACTATGTCTTAGTATCTCAGCTCTTGGGTTCTGCCTGTGCTTATTTGATCCTCCCACTCTGGCCCCTGCCACAGAACCTCTGCACTTCTCCAACATAGAAAAGTCTTATATTTGACTACATGTCAACATGCCCCTCATTATTTACCAAATTTGGAATCCTTTGAGGCCCTTGGGAAGCCCTCCCAGGGCCAGGCACAGAGAAAATGCCTCCTGAATGCTCAGCTCATGTCCCTTGGTAGTCTTCCTTCAGTAACAGCTGTAGAGGGATCAAACTGGAGATCAATAATCCCCAGCTCTCGTGTGGATCTATGTGGTAGAGTCAACATTCATAAATTTCTTTAAATGTGTTTATTTGTGTGTCTCTGTTCTGAGGGCCACCCCAAATAAGACAGCTTATTTTTTTTTTTCATTTCCTCTTTTTTGGTCTTTTTCTTTATTTGTTTTTTAAGAAGTTGCCTGATAACCATATACATTTTCCAATCCTAAGACTATATTCAGAAGACTTAGCTCCCATTCATAAAACCTAGCTTTAGTTAGATTTTCTGATTAGTTATTCTGTGTTAATCTGTCAGCTGCCCTCTCCCCACAAGTGGGGATACCGATTGCAAAACTCTCTAATCCAGTGGTTCTCAACCTTGGCTGCACATTAGAATCACCTGGGAATCCTTTTAAAATCCTGATTTCTGGGCCTCATCCTCCGGAAATTCTGTTTCTTTGTTACTAATGTTGTGGGCCCACCCCATAACAAAGAAACAGAATTTCCGGAGAATAAAGCCCAGAAATCAGGATTTTAAAAGGATTCCCAGATGATTCTAATGTGCAGCCAAGATTGAGAACCACTGCTCTAATCTCTTCCTTAACTGTTCTTTAACCCATAAATAGCCGGATGTGGCCAAGGCAGACACACACACACACACACACACACACACACACACACACACGGCAGAAGTTTGCTAGCCTCCTTTATGGCTGATTGATAAACTGATTCCTGGATGATGTTGATAATGATGATGATGATAGTGATCATGAATTTCTGCTTATGTCTTAATAAGTAGTTATTGATAACATGTGGTTCCCTTACTGACTCCTCTAGGAAAAGAAGGGTACATTTACTGGCTTTCTTCACAGCTCCTTCTAAGTGGTGGGAGGTGGAAGTGGTGGATAGGAAGCCTTGACACTGTGGTTGAAACAAACACCAGGATTTCTCAGTGACAGCTTACTGCAGAGCAAAATGCCCTGGGCTGTCAGGTTCCACACTTTTTTATTTCTAGTCCTGGTTCTTTAGATAATTATCTGTATGGCCTTCCTTGAGCTCTTTCCATCCCAAGCCTCCTTTTCTCTACTTGTAAATTAGTTGGGGGCAGGGGGAGATTGTAAGGTAAAAAAAAAATACTCTTGAACTCTGAAAGGCTCAGGGCACTGTTGTGTTCCCTACCTCTAGGGAAGCAGTTCAGCTGCTCTAGCTGTGATTTAAATGTCTCTAGATTCCTTCTCCAGGAGGCAACTTGAAACTGTAAAGAGAAAAAGCAGTCTTGGAACCCGTCCAACCCCAGCCTCTTTTCCACTGCAACTCTGAAGACTGAACTCCATCTCCCACTCCCTGCAGCATCAGACTCTGGGAAAATCAATCTATTTGCAAACGCTTCCCAAATCATAAACTGTCCTTGCACACTGTTTCAGTCTCCCCACTAACATGCCACATCCAGTTCCCAAATTGTTACTCCCTGGATGTTGGACAAAAGTGTAGTGTCCCCCTAGGAAGCTGGGCGCAAATCCAAGAGGTCATTGCATGCAATCTGAAGCTGGTGACTGCACGTTGGAGAAAGCATAGCATCAGCATCATGCTGGATTCACGCCATTCCAGACATCCTCAGTTGAGCTCTCAGAGACTCTACAATGTCCCCCTCCCAATTCTCTAACTATCCCCTGCCTCGTTCTTCTTGCACAACCCCAAAATTTGTGCAGACACTTCCTAGTGGCCACTGTCCTTCGACGGCCAACTAGGTACTGAATTAGGCCTCCAGCTTGTCAGTAGTCACCATGGTCGCCGCAGTCCCCTCTCAGTTCCCTGTGCCACAGCTCCTAGCTGGTATTTTGGGCACTGGTGCAGAAGATTAAAAGGAGAGTAAGGTCAAAGGAACGTGAAGAAGGCGGATCATGGGGGTTGCCCAGAGAAGATCCCCTAAGTCTGGGCTTCCAGCTGCAGCAAGAAGGGGGAGGGAGAGCCAGGGAAGAGCTGTGAAAGGAAGGGGACTGAGACTGCAGCAGCAGACTTCGCCAACCCCTTTAGCTCCCTAGCGGGGATGGACAAGGCGGAGCTTCAACCGCTGCTTCCCATTGGCTCTCTCGCGAAGCCTTAGACTTTGTGTAAAGTGCGGTTGCAGAGGCTCTGACTTCACTGGCTCAGAGCACAGCGCCTGAAGGCCTAAGACAGACGGATTCAAGGGGACAGAAATTTAGTCTGAACGACCCCCAACTGGGTGAAGGAGGAACGGTGCTCAGTGGACGCCTGGCGCTGCTGTCCTGAATTCAGAACCCGCTCTGCCTGCGCACCCCAAGCTGAGGAACATCTGGAGCCAGCCGCATTCGCCAGCCGCATTTGCCAGCCCCGCGCTCCACTGTCCAGCTCCACTCCGAGTCAGGTCCAGCGGTTGATGACAGATAATGAGATAAAGAAGGATGAAAGAACTTGGCATAGTGCTGGGTACGTAGTAGGTATTTAGGAAATTTCAGTTTTTTGAGGTTTTCCAAAGGCGTCAAGCTGGACGCCCCAACCACAGAATCGCCCCAAGGGGCTTTCCCAAACCCCAGCATCATGAGCTATGGGGACGAGCTCACCCCAGAAGCTCTGAGTGTGCCAAGCGGGTTTGATGATCTGATCACCTCCACCGCTTCCCAGGTGCTGCAGGCTATTTCTAATGCCGCATCCGCAGTTGGTAGCTCAGGCCGGGATAGTGTGCTCTCCATGATCCATAAGCTACCAGGCCATATCTCAAACATTGGCAACCTGGATGACACAGCAGGTCCTATGGCTTCAGAGATGGTGTCTCAGGATGAGCGGGTACAGTTCTGGCTAGTAATAGGATACACCATAGTGGTATTTGCTGCCATACTAGGCAACTGGGTCTTAAACCATGTGATTTTGAAGTACAAGAAGATGCACACTGCCACCGGCCTCTTTGTCGTCAACATCTCCGTGACCAACATGATGCTGGCTTTTCTCAGCTCTCCCTTCACCATGGTAAGCTGGATGTTGAAGAGGGCGACCCGGGGCTCAGGCCATGAAAGCAGAAACACAACTTTAAGTGCGTAGAGACAGGAATGGCTGAGGGATGCTGTAAACAGTTTGGAACTTGGGGGGAAGGGAGCTACAGCCATGATTGTGATTGCGTTGCTAAATTAATCTCCTCCCTTGTCAGAGGCTGTGACGTGTGTGGCTTAAGGAAGGGGTGGGGAACTGTTTCGGGTGTACTTTGTCACAAAGACCTAGCTTCAGTTTCCCCATTATTAGCCACGTTCCATTCCAAGCATTTCAAACGCAGTGCTTGGAATGGAACGTGGCTAATAATTTGTGTGATATGAGGTCTGGGTCTTCAAGCTGGGCTGTTTCTTTGGAAATAGATGAGAGGGTATGAGAGCTGCAATGTGAAAATATTTCCTTCCTGAGACAATAATGCCAGCAGTTTTGTGAAGCAAGGAAGCTTCTCTACTTCTATTTTGAGCTTGTAAGAGGGGAATTAGGCAGTGCTGAGTCCTGGTGCCTCACCATGTCCTTTCTCCCACAGGTGCGCTATCTGTGTAATTCGTTGGTGTTTGGGAAGATGACATGCCACCTCAGTCGTTTTGCTCAGTACTCTTGTGCCTATGTAACTGTGATGACCATGGCTGCTATTTCCCTGGACCGACATCGGGTATGTGTTTCCCAGGGCTTTTCAGGTCTTATAAAAGAGTAGGTTTTTCTTCTAGATAGATGGAAGCATCTAAGCACACAAACAATTTAAAATGTT